GGGCCGCGGGCCAATTTTATACTCTTATCAATGTGAATGTTAACATGACAATGTGAATATTCACATTGACATGTTAACATTCACATTGATAAGAGTGTAAAATTGACTCGCGTCCCATGGGCAGCCCAAAGCCCGTGGGCGGCCCGGGGTGGCCAGGGTTTGGGTCCGGGCCTACCCCGGGCCGCCAGCGAGCTTCAGGCAGCGGACAGGTTTTAAACTCCTATCAATGTTAATGTTATCATGCCAATGTGAATATTCACATTGTCACGGGTCGGGCCAAGCCCGCTTCGAGCTGCGATCAGGCTTCGGGCCGCCCACGGGCTGCGGGCCAATTTTACACTCCTATCAACGTGAATGTTAACATGTCAATGCGAATATTCACATTGCCAATGGGCCGGGCCCGCCCTGGCCCGAGGTCGGGCTTCGGGCTGCCCACGGGTCACGGGTCAATTGTACACTCTTATCAATGTGAATGTTAACATGTCAATGTGAATATTCACATTGTCAACAGGCCGGGCCGCCCACGGGCCGCAGACGGGTTTCGGGCAGCCACAAGGCACGGGCTAATTTTACACTCCTATCAATGTGCATGTTAACATGTCAATGTGAATATTCACATTGTCACGGGTCGGGCCAAGCCCGCCTCGGGCTGCGGTCGGGCTTCGAGCCCCCCACGGGCTGCGGGCCAATTTTACACTCTTATCAATATGAATGTTAACATGTCAATGTGAATATTCACATTGTCAACGGGCCGGGCCAGGTCCGCCCCGGGCAGCGGGCTGGCTTTTGGCCGTCCATGGGCCGCAGGCCAATTTTATACTCTTATCAATGTGAATGTTAACATGTTAATGTGAATATTCACATTGTCAACGGGCCGGACCGGGCCTGCCTCGGGCCGCCCATGGACCACGGGCAAGTTTCGCGCCGTCACGGGACAAGGGCCAATTTTACACTCCTATTAATGTGAATATTAACATGTCAATGTGAATATTCACATTGTCAACAGGCCGGGCCGGGCCGGGCCCGCCCTGGGCTGCTGTATAATTTTATACTCTTATCAATGTGAATGTTAACATGTCAATGTGAACCTTCACATTGTCAACAGGCCGGGCCAGGCCTGCCCACGTGCCGTGGGCGGGTTTCGGGTAGCTACGAGGCGCGGGCTAATTTTACACTCCTATCAATGTGAATATTAACATGCCAATGTGAATATTCACATTGTCAATGGGCAGGGCCGGGCCCGCCCTGGGCTGCGGGCGGGCTTTTGGCCGCCCATGGGCCGCGGCCCAATTTTATACTCTTATCAATGTGAACGTTAATATGTCAATGTGAATATTCACATTGTCAACGGGTCGGACCGGGCCTGCCCCGGGCCGCATATGGGCCGCGGGCGGGTTTCGCACCGCCACGGGACGGGGGCCAATTTTACACTCCTATTAATGTGAATTTTAA